AATTGGCACCAGAACACTTTTCCTCCACTCACCAGGCATCATGTCAGTCTCTAAAATGCTGTTAAACAACCCAGTCAGGAACGTTACCGCCACTTCTCCTAAGCACTTACTTCCACTGGTATGTCATCCCGACCAACAGACTTTCCACTCTTCATCCTCTTCAGGGCTTTTCTAACTCCATCCTTTCTAACCTGATCTATCTTCTTCCTAATGGTCTCTTGTTCCTTGTTTCTACGTTCCCTTTCATTTTCCTCATTTAACAACTCCTCAAAGTATTCCTTCCATCTTCTCAGCACACTTTCCTCACTTGTGATTACGTTCCCCCAGATTTCTCTGTCTCGCCAATCTATACACCTCCTTTTCTCCTTCCTTTGTTTCCAAACTCTCGTACAACTCCTCATATGCCATTTGTTTGGCTTTGGCCACTTCCCACTTCACCTCCCTTGTCCTCTATTTGTACTCCAGTCTGTTTTCTTCTGTTCTGTCACTGTCCAATCTCTTCTTCGCTAATCTCTTTCTCTGCACACTCACCTGTACCTCATCATTCCACCACCAGGTCTCTTTGTCCTCCTTTCTCTGCCCAGAGGACATACCTAGCACCTTCCTACCTGTCTCCCTAATCACTGCAGCTGTAGTCTCCCAATCATCTGGGAATTTCTCAACACGGCCCAGAACTGCCCTTCCTTCCTTCCTGAAGTATTCACAACATGTCTCTTTCCTTAGTTTCCACCACTTCTGCTCTGTCTTCACTTTCTTCCTTTTTGTTACCTCCATCGTCATTTTGCACACTATCATCTTGTGTTGTTTGGCTACGCTTTCACCTGCCACCACCTTACAGTCTCTAATCTCCCTCAGATTACATCTTCTACATAGAATATAATATGTGTGGACCTGCCTCCACTCTTGTAAGTCACCCTGTGTTCCTCTTTCTTTTGGAAATAGGTGTTTACCACAGCCATTTCCATTCTCTTTGCAAAATCTACCACTGCCTGTCCTTCTAAGTTTCTCTCCCTAACACCAAACCTACCTATCACTTCCTCATCTCCTCTGTTCCCTTCCCCTACATGACCATTTAGGTCTGCTCCAATCACCACTCTCTCTCCCCTGGGGATACTCTCTATCATCCAATTCAGCTCCTTCCAGAACTTCTCCTTTCACCTTCTCCATCACTCCTTCTATTTCTACCTTCACACACATCAACCTGTCTGGCTCTCGTTTCACCTCTACCACATTTCTTACATATTCTTCCTTTAGGATCACCCCTACTCCATTTCTCTTCCCATCTGAACCATGATAAAACAGTTTGTAGCCTCCTCCAATGTTTTTAGCGTTACTGCCCTTCCACCTGGTCTCCTGCACACACAAAATATCTACTCTTCTTCTGTCGGTCACATCAGCTATTTCTCTACTTTTCCCTGTCATTGTACCTACATTCAGAGTTCCAAACTTCAGACCAACACTTCTATTCTTCATCTTTTCTCTTTTTTCTCCTAACCAAACACCCTCCTCTTCTTTTCTGTCTCTGACCAACAGTAGTTGATGGTTGTTGTTAACCCGGGCCTCGACCGATCCGGAAATTGTTTTATTAATTTGCATATTCGATTTGGCTAAACGTTTTAAGCTGGATGCCCTTCCTGACGCAACCCTCACCATTTATCCGGGCTTGGGATCGGCACTATAAAACACGGCTTTGTGTACCCTAGTGGGTGGCTTACGACTTTACTGTCCTGTGTTCAGTTCAAACTGCCCTCAGTTTGAAGGGCTACTTACTAACATTGTTTCTACTGGTCTATATTATAGACCAATAGAAACAATGTTAGTGTTTTGAGACTATCAGGGTAATCAGTGGTAGCTAATGAGCATGTTTAAATTAAAATACAATAGGTGAATTCCTTAGATTGTTTATTCCCACTTAAAACTTTATTTCCCTATTCAGTTTTGCAAAAAATAATTTATGTAAAATCTTTAAATAATCGTTTTTGGCTTTGTCCCTTTTTTTCAGGGGTTGCCACAGCAAATCATTGATTTCCATCTCTCCCTGTTCTCTCTATCTTCTATTCTGACTCCAACTATCTGCATGTCCTCCCTCACTGCATCCATATATCTCCTTATACTCGTTTATACAGTATGGAAATGTCAACACAATTTAGTGAGTGCACACAAAAACACAAAAAAAACTTTGTTTAGCTCTTTTGCTTTTCCAAGGATGTGTCATATCCTGACTGTCTACAAAGATGAAACTATGGATCAACAGTGAAATGTCTAATATCTAATCTGAGATGGTCCAAAAGTTGGTGAAAATGTGATTTGGGAATACATAAACCCTTGTATTAGGAGATAGTAGATGTGTCAACGCTGTCTTAACGCTGAATTTAAGAGAAACAAATGCTTCCATTAAGACAATGTATCTTTCCCTGGAACTCCATACATTTCTAAGCACAACAATAGCAGAATTTAATTCTGCACAAAATTTTAAAGTCATACTTGTATCATACTTGCTCAGTCTGCTTATAATTACCTGACAGAGATATGGCACTAGTTAAGGTCACTAAAGACTCCTTAGTGGGATTAGATAATAAGCTAATATCTGTGCTGTTCATGGTATTTCACTGCAACATATAAAACCATTTATCATACCGGCAGGGGCAGACTTTTGGGAATCAAGGTATTTTTTTTTTCTAACGGTGTAGGTCATTCTTATCTGAGAGATTTTAGTTTTGTTATATGAATAATGTTGCCTTTACACATGCAGCCCATTTGGTGCATTCT